TTGGGATTTTAACTTTTTCAAAACGAAGTAAAACGTTTAATACATTGCAAAAGAGATTCAAAATGTAAACCAAAAAGGAATGAGGAAGAATATAGTTAAAGTTAATTGATTTCGATAGGAATACTTCAAATTAATTATTTAAAAACACTTGTGTAAAAGATTTATTTACAATTAAAATTTTAAACAAAATCAGGGTCTTGCCCTAAAGGACTCTGCATATGTTTTGGGGTCGCTATGACACCATCTTACTGTTTTTAATATATATTTATAATTATAACTACTTATTTTGTAAGATTTTAATATTATGTTGCTTTTAATTGTAAATAAATAACAATACCAATCTGGATAAAAAAAAAAAATTGTACACAAATTGTGCTGCAATAAAAGAGCAAAACAAAAGCATTGTACAAACAATTGATGTAGTTAATAGTAAAAACAAACAACACTTCACAATCAACTGCTATAATAACAAATCAAAACAAGAAACTATATGTAAACTACTTTTACAATAACATATCAAACAAAACATCTTTGCACTGACTACTGCTACAACAAGAAACCATTAAAAACGATACATGTTTAGGCTAAGCATATTCTGTATTACAATCTTACAAAACTGTCCGCAATTGTTATTGTTATGTAGTTAAAATTCATACATAAAATGGGTTAATCTATTTTCTTTAACACCAAGATGCATTTTTAAATATCTACAATAAATATTTTATTAATGAAATTTAATAGAAGTGGCCAATAAACTGTCAAACGTTTATTGGCTCGGATTTAGTAATTCTCAAAAATGTATTGGTAAGACGATTACCTTTATCATAATTGTTTTTGGTTGATTACAACGTTGGTTAAATTTTTACTTTATGTTCAGCATACATAGTTAATGGTTATAGTTTTCTCTCTCTTAAAGGGTGCCACTGAATGTCATGAAGAATGGATAAAAAAGTACGGAAAAATCTGTGGGTAAGTTGTTTTACAGCTTTCAGAAAATGACCAAATAGCTTATTTGTTAACGTGAATTTTGATATATCTTATACGCAGCGACACCTACAGACATAAGTTGAAACTTTTCACTAACTTCACTCTGTTGGTGCTTGACTGTACCAAATAGAAAAATTAAAGATAGTTTTACTTTTATCTCTCGAATACAGAATAATGTTTCTGTTTCTAAAGTAACAAGTATGAAGCGGGACATTAATTTAGCTATATTCATTCTAGGGTGTTGTTGTACGAACTTAAATAAAATAATGAAATTAATTTGCTTGATATAAAGATGAAGTTTTTCTTACAAATTGAAATAAAAGTAAGATAAAAAGTATTTTATTTCTAACTGTAGAATTAACAAAGTAATCACATTTAACATAAGATTATCCTACATAGATAAAGATAATTTATAATGTACTAATACCCATTTCTATAAGATTTTTCTTTAACACTTGATCAATAAGAAGATCACGTCATATGTAAATATATTTTAGATAAGCTTCATACTGCATGCTCTAACATCAGACATCTTTACACAGTTAGTTAAAAAGTGTAATCTACAGATCCAAACAACTTAAAGACATGTTTTGTTTAACATTTCTTCAATAATATCAGTTATTTATTATTGTATAATTTATTTCATAGATTCTACTTCGGACGATTACCTATGATTATCGTAGCGGATTTGGATCTACTCAGACAAATTCAAATTAAAGATTTCCAAAAGTTTACAGGAAGACCGGTAAGAAATCGCCAGTTACAAAGTAATTTGAATATCACAAATTTAATTAGTAAAACAATGTCACATATGGAACATTTTAAACAACTAGGATGTACAAAAGTAGGTAATCTACAGTAAGGATCAAAGGCTTCAATAATTAAAACATAACACTAGAATAACTTCTCCTTCCATGACTGGTTTAGAATACACCTACAGTAGTTGGATGGTTGGTTGGTTTGTAGTTAAGCACAAAGCTACACAAAGGGTTATCTGTGCTCTGTCCCCCACGGGTATCGAAACTCGGTTTCTAGCATTGTAAGTCCGTAGATGTACCGCTGTGCCCCTGGTAGACACACCTGTTCTAAGGTATAGTCATGTAAGTTTTTTACAGTTTCCACACAGGTGTTCTGTATGAACTTTTGACTAAAATCGAATACTATAAAATAAAGTGTGCATCTGTCTGTCTGTCTCTCGGTCACGCAATAACGGCATAACAACTTATTACGTAATTTAAGTTGTTTGGCTTCCTATCAATTAGAAGCGCGTAACGTATGATTGGTCGAAAATTAAAGATATATTTAGACTAAGATATACAAATAAATTCACCTTTTTTCGCAATGTGAAAACGTATCTTTGTTAAATCGCCGAGTTGCGCCTGAAAGGACGTAGATATACTTTAGTCGACATTTTATACAACACATCAAAATTTTAAAAATGTCTAACGTTAGGTCAAACAATAATATTAGAAAATTATTTATTGATAATATTAAGTGCGGTATTCCTAATTTAACTAAAGCAAAAAACGTACAAAAGTTACAGTGTTAATTTATCGAATATAGGCCTAACTTAATAAAGTCTTAGCTAATGCTAGGACTAAGACAAGTGGACTTATAGATTTCAGCGTCTGCGATTAGAATTATTTTTTATTACTCTACCAATATTGTGTTTAAAGAAGTACTGTTGCAACAAAGATACTAGTTTGTTAGCAAATGTTTTGAGGGTCTCTGCTAGTATTTTGATAAAATCTGGCAATAAATACGCAGAAGAATGTGAATGGGTGGATGACACGAACCTATCCAAAATAGTTATTACAGCCGTGCATCTGACACAAACAGTGAATTACTTGGAAATATGTATCGAACATCCAGAAAAAAAATCATGATTTTTTTTGCTCCATACTCCCCTATCCCACCTTATAATGCTTGTTGTTTGTTTCAATATCATGCTAATCAGTAATTCGTAGATTAAAATTGTTGATGTTTTTAGGGCAAAACTTCACAACAGGTTATCTGCTCTCTGTCCTCGCGGGGAATCGAACCCCAGATTATAGTGTTGTAAGTCCGTAAGATTACCAGAGACCCACTTGGAAACATATTTACACATTAAACCTCTAATTTAAAGAACATAAATGCCCCACCCATTGTAAGCTCAATGATTACGTTTCATTGAAAAGTGTTTCTTGTTAAGCACAAAAAAATACACAATGGGTTATCTGTGTTCTACCAAACGCGAGTATGAAAGCCTTATTTTTAGCGTTATAAGTCCTCATATATATATATACAACTGAGCCCTCAGACTTAATTTTAATGGTACAAACATCTTAAACAATTCATCCATAAGACTGTTTATAAATTTCCATTAGTGTTTATAAATCAAATTTGTTAGCCTAATCGTTACTTTCTTTACCGTTGAATTACAAATAATGTCGATAATGTACTTTACAGTAAAATGTTATCATTTTATTCTTCATCTTACTTATCCTTAAACTAAGCTATCCTGATAATAGTCATATCTCATCTAGTGCGTATAATATCTTGCTTATCTCCATAGATGTTAGTCCCTGGAACTACCCAGCCAATTAAAGAACTTAAATCACAATTGATTTACAAACGTGGAGAGCACTGGAAGGAAGTTCGCAGTCTCCTGACCCCAACATTCAGTTCCAGTAAGATGAGACAAGTAAGTATTGTTGTTAGACTACAACTTAAACATCAGTTCGACGTAGTCTGGCAACTGTAACTATCGTCAGAAACTTATTATATAAATCTACATTATCAACTTTACCAGGTTTAAACGCTACTGCAGAGATTACAAAAAATCTCCGAACACTAAGATGTCACTCATGTAGAAAATATGAGAAATTCTGCGTATCTCTGTCTTTCTGTATATTAACCTGTCTACCTGTACTGTCTATTCATTTATATTTCTTCCTTTCTGTATTCTCATCTCTCCGTCCTATGTACAAATCTATTTCTCTGTTTTTGTGTATATTTATCTATCTTGTCTGTACTGTCTATTCATCTATTTCTCTGTTTTTGTGTATATTTATCTATCTTGTCTGTACTGTCTATTCGTCTGTTTCTCTGTTTTTGTGTATATTTATCTATCTTGTCTGTACTGTCTATTCATCTGTTTCTCTGTTTTTGTGTATATTTATCTATCTTGTCTGTACTGTCTATTCATCTATTTCTCTGTTTTTGTGTATATTTATCTATCTTGTCTGTACTGTCTATTCATCTGTTTCTCTGTTTTTGTGTATATTTATCTATCTTGTCTGTACTGGTTATTCGTCTGTTTCTCTGTTTTTTGTATATTTATCTATCTTGTCTGTACTGTCTATTCATCTATTTCTCCGTTTTTGTGTATATTTATCTATCTTGTCTGTACTGTCTATTCATCTATTTCTTTGTGTTTGTGTATATTTATCTATCTTTTCTGTACTGTCTATTCATCTGTTTCTCTGTGTTTGTGTATATTTATCTATCTTGTCTGTACTGTCTATTCATCTATTTCTCTGTTTTGTGTATATTTATCTATCTTGTCTGTACTGTCTATTCGTCTGTTTCTCTACCTTCCTCTATATCTATATGTAGAGATGGATAAATAGAAACACGGATTTTTTAATTCTCCACTTTTGTGTTTGTAAGTTTATTGTGAAGGTTTTGTTTTAATTTTTTATCTTAAAAACAACCAAGACTCATCAAAGTTTTAATAATCTTTTTATATTTATACAGGATATTTAATTATAATCACGCCCCCCTTCCCCAGTGGCACAGCGGCATGTCTGCGGACTTACAACGCTAGAAAAGAGGTTTCGATATCCGTAGTGGACAGAGCACAGATAGCTGTGTTGCTTTGTGCTTAACTTCAAAACACACAAACAATAATAATTACTGTAGTAAGTAGATCTATATGTAAATATCATTACTGATTTAAATGTTGTTTAACAATGTTATTTAAACATTATCACAGATTAAGAATATTTAATTATTTTTATTGAACTCTTATTCAAAATAAAAGTTTTGAGACAGCTTGAGTGGGTAATGAATAAACTTTATTATAAATGTACGACGTTCCAAAAAGATTTTGTCATCCTCAGGTCAGGTAGAAGAAATGATAAAATAACATGGAAACATAACGTTTAAAAACAAACGACCATCTGAAAAAAATCAAAATGCACCTCTTCCTATGAAATAAAACCTAACTCAAACATACGTAATAAAAATATGAGAAACTCGGAACTCTTAATGTTGGCAAACGCTCTACAATTGGTTAGAAAAGGATCTTTTGGATTACGCTGGCCATTCGTCTGCATTCCAAAACAAGTTTGAATGATGACATCAGCTGACAATCCTTGGTACATCTCGTATATATCGAAATCTTCCTCTGTTTGGGCTTTTTGGGCAATTTTTTCCATAAGGACCCCAACACTTTCCTGCATGATTGGTGTCATCTGAAATGTAAATCAGTTTATTGTAGACTTTGTAATTAAATACAATAAGTGTATAGAATTATCATTACTATATTAATTATTGCTAAATGTCATAATTGTAGACTGTGTAATTTTGATTACGTTTGATATTTCTCATGTTCATTAGACATTGGTACATACGTCATAAAACTTGTGTGTAAATGATAATAATAAATGTGTTTAGTTATCTATATATATATATCCAAGAAACAAAAGGCTGTTGTATTAGATACATATCTTGAGAAAGATTAGAAAATGCAGAATATGTGACATCAGTATGCAACACACAATCAGTATTAAGCTCTTCTAGTCTATATAAAAAGGAAATGTCTTAATTTATTGGAAAATCAGACAATTGAAAATCTAAATATCCAATCCTCATATTGTTATTACATCTATAACAGTACTCGTGATACGAATACATCACACACAAATTATACATATATATATACTAGTTAATTTCATTTTATCTTTTTTCTTTAAGATATCATAAAATACCATTAAGAATTTCCTTTTTGGCACAAGCATGTGTCTGACTATGTATGTGTCTGACTATATATGTTTCTATGTATGTGTCTGACTATATATGTTTCTCATCATTTCTATTGAAAATTTGCATGATTTATTGTTAGGCTCAGTTTTCTTCAAAAGAGAAGCTTTCTAAA